ATCTCTAATCGATTGGCTCACTTCATATTTGAAAAATCGACATTTCAGTGTCAGGGTTAATTTCACTTTATCTCAGGCTATGGAATGTCCTAGTGGGGTCCCCCAGGGCTCAGTTCTAGGACCTCCTCTCTTCTTGATCTACATAAAAAATCTTCCTCGACAGGTAACGTCAGACTTACTACATTTTGCCGACGACGTGAAACTTTGGAGAGAGACACGCAACCAAGACGATATACAGGCACTTCAGGAGGATCTGACTCGACTTCAAAGTTGGGCAGACGATAATAGACTTACCTTTAACACTTCAAAGTGTAAAGCACTCCATCTGCGACATGTCGCAGACTACAGTTATAACTTAGGTAACTCCTCTCTAGTGGTATCCCAAGTGGAAAAAGATTTAGGAGTCCTGATGCCCTACGATTTAAGGTCTTACGCTAACTGTGACAAAGATACTTTCCGAGCAAACCTTGCACTGGTAACATTGAAGAGCATTTTTGGCCAGTTTGATGGAAGAATTTTCCATGTAATCTTCAATAGTTTTATCCGTCCCCATTTAGAGTACGGAACCATAGTATTTCCCCCTCATTCCAAAAGGATAAGGACACCCTGGAGCGTATCCAACGGCGAGCCACGAAATCAGTTCGAGGACTCAAATTTAAACCTTACGAAGAGCGCCTCCATTCACTTAACCTTTACTCATTAAGGTATAGATGTCTTAGAGGTGACCTGGTGGCTTATGGTGTCCTTAACACTTCTGGACATACTCTCAAACACCTAATTAAGCTTAGTTTCAACACTAACGTAAGAGGTAACACCCAAAAACTGTAGACACAACTTCTACTCCTTAAGAGTTGTCAAATGCTGGAATGCGCTGCCGGCCGAGCTAGTCCAAGCGACTTTCCAGGAGTCCTTTAAGAGGCGACTTGATCTATTCTTAAGGACTAAGGATAGTATCACACTGTGATTTACTAATTTCTTTTCCACTTTTACTGTTAACATAACTAGGTTCCTGCCTGGAGGATTTGGTGATCCCCTGAAACTAGACACGGAAGCCTGTTAAGCGAAAGCTTCTTCTATTCCGTCCACAACCATCTGAACCATTCGGATCTCCTCTTACTCCGTTTCCAGTTTAGTTGACCTTTTCTTTTTTACATATAAATGCTCTTAACAAGTATATGTGTGATCAGATTGTTCGAAATGTATTGCGCTAATATATCACATAGCTCTTATAATCTTCGTCTTTTAATTACAAAGATTATCGTTCATTCGAAGGTAATCTGTTATCTGTACACTGGCTTTATTTGTTGGATTTTAGACCTGACTGTTTTTTACTTTTTCTGGTTACCTGAAGCCGTTGCAATGGTGAGGGGTGGTATAAAAAGTACTTACAAGCGTAATCGAGATGGACCAAATGGTATTTGCTCTGTCGATAAACGAACCAGTGTGAGGTTATCCTAAACAAGCGTCGAGTCAACTGACTTACATGGAGCAAAGGAAGAAATACTGATTTCAAGGGGCTTCGTCAGAAATAAAAGCTCAGGACTCCCACCGCCCTTCAAATGCCAATGAGCAGGAAACGTCTGGAAAACCCTACTGTAAGACTAGGTCTGTTTCTGGCAGGAACAACAACGACCTGATCACTCAATTTGTCGACACTCATCTAAGATCTTACATTGTTTGTGGCACGACTGTGATTCTCTCGTAATGAAAGGTTGATGGATGTGTACAAATCAAAGATAATAACCGAATTAATGTTGCTGAAGAAAGGCTAGTCCCCCAAACAACAAGTGAAAAATCGAGGGCTGATCACAGTCGTCCGTTAATGAGATTAGGAACTCAGAAGTCGTTTGGTGCATTCCATTGATTTGATATAAGATCTACTCAACCAGCTAATGTCTCAAGGTATCTCTGTAGTAATCCTGTTGAAAGCGTCCGTAGAATCGCATCCTCATCGCATCCCCTTTTGCAGCGACACGAAATGTAGTAAATGAACACTGAGGTGGGGAAAATCAACTCATTGTTTGCTACACAATCACAGTAGTTTAGTAAATACAACATCTGCATATCTTCCACCAGCTGTATTATACGAATTCATTGTGTAACAACCAAAATGCCAATATTCGGTCTGAACGCAGAACTAACTAACCAAATTTTATTCGATCACACCAGACTACGTTTTTCTGTATAGCGTACGAAGCATTTTTGAGTTACTTGTATTAAATTATATCAAAACACCAACTTTGTGCTAAATTTAAATGGTTTTAATTTCAGAAATAGAACAAATTATATCAAAAATACAAAATACCTCAGACGGCACAGCCTGTGCTATATGGTCAGAGGTTTCTTTAACACAAATTAGCGTGCTAAACAATAAAAGAAACAGTTAATACAAAAGAGATCAATACCTGAGAATCAATAAAAATATTCCCAACACAATGGGATTAGATATCTATCTGCAGGGATTCCAACAATCTTCACATGCATACAGCCACACCTACTGAGCTTAGTCAAACACGACCTTATTGTCAATAGTCCGGGAACATGCATTGAAAAATTGAGTCTTTTATCAAAGCCACATAATAAAAACCCAGACGAAGAAGAATACAAAGTGTGATCTGAATAAAGGCTAAAATACATGACAGCGACAAGAAACAAATAAATGACAGTACTGTCCAACGGAATACTGCGGAGGGATTTTCAGCGTTTTCTTTCCGTTAAATACTGATTCTTTCTTTTACGTTGTTATTGAAATTGCCTTCTGTCTCCTTCTCTGTTCTTTTCATTTGAATCTTCTCAGTCTTCTACTTCCGATTGGTGTTACGTACTATCTATATCTATCAACATAAGTAGCATACACCACAGTGCGACATATGAAATAAGCAGCTAGTTACCACCCAGACTCTGAATCGTCTCTACTAGATCTCACACTGATCCTTGTCTTTCACTTGCATATCATTGTCAGCAACGATTTGTCAGCCAGACCGAAGATCCTGAAAGCAAATATACTAGAAAATATCCATTCAGCATCCTTAGTACATTAGACCACAGAATCGGATACCCTATTGACAGTATTCCGAAAGTGCCTAGAAATTTGTACATAATAGTTACTACACCTCAAACCCCTCGAACTACACCAAGGTGTTCGAGAAATTTCCCTCCGCTGTTCTGTAAGGAGGTCTGCATCCTCCTCTGTAAGAAGGAAAAAATAAGTGAGAGATTTAGGCTACTGTGTGGTGACGAAACAAAATACCAGTATCGGAAGCTCAAAATATTTGTACCACGACCCTCCACATATCTAAAAGGTCATACGAAGAAACGCTTGGTAAGGAGTCTCTAGAATACCCCAAGTGCTTATACTTGTACATTGCATGATTATTGGAGAACGATTGTGGTAAAGCTCATGTATCCTCAAATTACTTTGGCAGTGTAGACAACACAGAGATGCCCTCTCCTTCGATTCAGACAAACCTGTCCCATACATTCTGGATACTGTGAACATTAAAGAACTTGATGTCTTCAGTCTACTAAATGGGCTTGACATAGGCGAATCCACGGGATTCGGTGACATGCACCCTGAAGTGCTGGAAGAATTGACAAATTTTACTACGAATGTTTTGATATATCTGCACTTCAAGGCAGATTACAAAACAACTGGAGTAACGTCACAGTAAGTCCTACCCTTTGAATAAGCACGAGACATAAATGGGAGAACTCTCGACCTGTAGGCCCAACCAGCGGGGTTGTTAGAATAAAAAAAACTATTCGAAAAGAAATGTTTTAGTATCTAGACAAAAATTAGATTCTTTCTGAAAAGCAGCATGGCTTTAGAACAGTTTATTTATGCCTCTCAAACTTATTAGTGGCCCGTGAAATTTGATGCGCTCTTAAAGTTCAAAAGTCACCTACAAATGTAGCCAACATTGACTCCATTGAGGCATTAACAAAGTTCTTCACATCCGATTATTATCTAAGTTATGTAATATCAGGATTGAAAGCAATTCATTAGTGCGTAAAAAACTTCCAAGTCAAACATCAACAAAGAGCACGGGTTGGCTAGAAATTGTCTAGCTGAAAAACTGTGCTTAGCGGAGTGCCTCAAAGTTCAGTTTTGAGGTCAGGGTTGTTTCTCCTGTATGTAAATTATGATGCATATTGGTCACCAAGGTACAGATAAATGCCCGGTGAATAGCAGTGAGCTACCTATTGTCCAGACACATAGTGAACTAGGGGTCGTCTTTAGCCACGACTTAGAAGCTACCGCACACTGCCGTGTGATAGTCGCAAAGGTCCTAGAATCCTATTGTCAATAAGTAAAGCTTTCAGTCATGCCGACGCTAAAACCATTTTGCCTTTGTGTACAGTGTTTATTCATCCTGAACTTCAGTACTGGATTCAAGAGGCTAGCTCCTGTCTGGATAGAAACAGTGAGCTGTTGGAGAAAATGCAAAAATTGCAACTAAGCTGATTCTTGGGGTCGTAAAGATCTCGTATAATGAAAGACTGTCCAAACTAAATCGATTTCTCTTGTCTTATGGAAGAACCAGAGGCAGTGTAACCGCAGTTTGTCAGTTACTTAGCGATAGATTTACATCCAACATACGCTCATTTTTCAAGAACTGAGAATTTAGGAGGACACTGATAAACTTCGCAAGCCAAGAAAAAATTAAATCGATCTCCTCACCGACTAATCAACAAGTGGAATTAACTACTTCAATGTGTGATTAGGGCTCTATCTGTCAGCTCCTTCGAAATAAATTTGATTCAGCTGAGAGACCACCACTGTCAGGACTAACACAGGCCACCAAGCCTCGCATCTACTCGAAAGTGAAATGAAACATGAAAGGGTGGTACATGTATTACTGAAATGTCAAGTAAAACATTGCGACATTAAGTGGGTTTCCATAAATATGACTGGTGACTTAGTTATCAGAATCCTATATCTGTTTCTCACTTGGACTACAAAGAATTGTTTAAATGCTTCAAAGGTTCATACGGAAGCAGGATTTTGGATTGTAAGGTAGTCGGTTGTAGGTCACGAGGCACCACGTCGTAAGATGTTCTCAAGTACCTGTGATTACACAAAGTTAAGGTTGAATATCAGACTTTGTATTCAACGACTTGAATATGTTCAAAAAAAGAAATCTGAAATATCAAAGGGAATTCGTCGAGAAATCGCGGACCTTTTGAAAGATGGAAAGGTTGACAGAGCTCGCATTAAAGTCGAACAAATCATTCGGGATGACTACTGTGTGGAAGCCATGGACATTATACAGTCATATCTTGAGACGTTAAACGCGCGATTCGGGCTAATTCAAGATGCAAAGTGAGACACTATGCTTAGTATTACATAATTTAGGCTGCCAGATGCATCTCTTGAGACACCAATCGCGACTATACTATGGTCCAAATCACGAATTAAAAATGAGATTCCTGAGCTAGATATTGTCGGTCAGCAGCTCGCCATTAAGTTTGGTAGGAATTACGTCCGTGAATGTTGTGAGAAGGCTAACATGGTCAATCGTACCGTCATGACAAAATTGAATTCTATCGTCCCTGGGGCGAATTTGGTTGAAATGTACTTGGTTAGTTACTTTTTCCAACAATCTAAGCCATTTGGCCTACCGTGTTAATAAAGCATTTTATTACTCATTTTGACGCTGTTATTTCTATATGTCCATCAATGTTAGTTCCAACCGCTTGTTTGATATAGTGCTAATAACTAAATTTCGTTAGATACGACGAAAAATCCAGTCTGTCAGTCACCAAGCTTTTTGTAACTGAGGTTTCAGTACAGTTATTCATGACACTTCACTAGTAACACTGCCGAGCTGAAACAAGAACAAACTTGTCAATGAATTCCCAAATTCACTTCCGATTCAGGACCGTTCATTGTACAGTAAATCTCTAGATCCAGATACAACCCTTCAAGGTCTGCTAAAATCCGAACCAAATATGTCATACAATTCTTCAGTTTGTATTTAATTGGTGATGAGTGTTTTTGTCATAATGATAGCATTTTTTACCGCATCCAAACATTTGCTCATTATAAAATTCTAGTACCAGCGGGTACTGAAAAGTATGGGCCATACGGACAAATATTATCACAGAGGCAAAAAGGGGATAGAAAGTACAACCAAAGTGTTAAGCAATGGTCTTTACAACATAGCCTATGATCCCTAAGCCATAATCATCCAATTTCTGTTTAGAGAAGTTCATGATAACTAGTTCTAGATAGTTTAGTTGTCCAGGATTCCAGATATCAGAAAGTTCGTCAGAAGGAATCTTTATTCCCTAGTGATAACAGTCTGGATACATTTAATCATCCACTTAATGTTCCTATATCCACTTGTTTTTACAGTTTCAGAAGGAATTTTGGCTTCTACACAATTAGTGCTATTTTAATGATATTAGGTAGTATTCTCGAACTTGTCCTAATGTTTTTGAGGCTTCGGCTTCTAAAAATAGGAAATTCAGCGATTGTATATATGTTAATATATGGAATTTCAAGCATTAATTCCCTGAGAAAATATAAACAGTAAGCATAACCAAATAGATTGTAATACTAGGTTATATAATGTGAATAGTGATAGAGGTTTGTTTGGCTTCTGTAAGAGGTGTGATAGATTAAACGTTTTTGTCGCAATTACTGAAGGTATTAGAATAGTTTAGCACAATTTAGTGACATCAGTAACAAATATGAATAAATTCATGAGAATATGAGAAACAAAGGAATGTTCCAAATGCGAAACCAGTGAGATCAAAACTGGTAGTTCAATGCTGTTGTATAGATAATGATTTAAAATTAGCATGTTATTTTGTTGGATAAAAAGTGTCTTCTGGGTAGTGTTTTTGTCTTTGTCATCAGTTTGTTCGGGAGTTTGGACCAAACACATTTCATCCACTAGACAATATTGTCTTCATTCATTAAAATCGAGGAATTCTTTTTCTAAAAGTCACCCTACTGTCTTTTCATCTTTCCCTTGAGGTTAATATAAGTTCGTTTCTTAAAATATCTTATTTCATCCAGTCTTTCATAATGATGGTTTAATTCTTAGCTCTCGTCGTCATCAGGTGTTCAATTTATCACTGCTTTTCAGCCGAAAAGAAAGCCAGTAATACACTTTATGAATTAAAATAAGTCTGACTATTGTGGTTATCTATAATTGTTTTCATAGATCCCTTTTATCTTATCATATTTTGCCTCATAGTGTTTTTATGAAGTTTATAAGCATCTCCCTTTCCATACACAATACCAGGTTGAAATCGCGAAAAGTTATGATGTTAGTTTCACTCCCGACACACATGTCATTTGCGACTCTAATCTAATGTTCAACGATAACTTGATTGAATTCAAACCGGATAGTTCTGTTGGGTTACCTAGTATGCCATCCAACTTTGGAGCATGCAGCATGCCATGGGCAACTACATCGATGTCCGATAAAGCTCCTTATCCTACGGAATTTATCAATGAAACTAAGATTCCATCAGGCATCCCGTCAAATGAAACGATGCCCTCAAACACAACCAGTACGTCCCCTTCATGTTTTTCCCTTAAGTAAATTTATATTTTTAAAAACTAACAATTGATATTTTCGTAGTCATTCTGTGTTATTCAATTGCTTTTCATATTGTTAATGGTGTTCAGATTTTCTAAGTGTTAGTAAAACTGTAGTGTAGCCCACATAACTTATTCTAGCTTATGAACAGGCCAATTTATCTATTCTTGAGTCAAGTTTTGACCTTGTTAATTATGTACTGATCAACCCTGACTGTTTTTTATATAGGTGTATGTGTGTGTACTTTTTATCTTACTTATCACATATCTGTAGCTTATTGATTAACGCTTGGTTAAATCTAGTTGGCTCACACATCATCTCCACTGCACGTCATTTCGCTTCATTCCTCTGATTGTTCAAATTAATGAGTGTACAAAATATACATATTCAAAAATCCATTATCATATTTGGCTTATTTAATCCGGTTATTCACTAACACGGATTAAGTCGATAGCTATACGGGAATTCGCGATATGTATACTTCGACAACTAACAGAAATGATCCAACTCGAGTCGATAACATCTTCCTATGTAATTGACGTCAAAATAAAGGGTCCCATTAGCTCTCCCTCTCGAAATGCTCTCAAGTGGCCACGTGCATACAACCACTGTCAGGGAAGTCCTACTCACTGTCTTCTTGCGGTAGGGATGTTGTTTACGAAATTGAGAGGATGAAAAGCGAATGTCCTGGACTCTAACCGGGTTGATGGATATTGAGGACCCATCTGGGGGAGCTGGAAAACCCTGATTCCAAATCAATGGTGCACATAGGCTCCAGGATCCTGAGCGAACAAATGAGGTCAGTCAGTCAGCTACAACGTAGGACCAGGCACATATGTGCATCGGTCCAGGTTGCCATACCGCATCAGCACAACAAGATGAACACCGGATTCATAGCAGTGGCCCCCTGAATGCCCTGGTACGGCCGAGAGTGGGGAGAGTCCGCTCTCCCTCTCGAAATACTCTCACACGGCCACGCGTATACAGCCTCTGCCAGGGAAGTCCTACTCATTGCCTTCTCGTGGCGGGGGTGTTGTTTACGAAAATGAGAGGACGAAAAGCGAATGTCCGGCGCTTTAACCGGATTCCAAATCAATGGTGCACATGGGCTCCAGTATCCTGAGGGAACAAATGGCGTATGAACCAATCGTTGGTCACCGGCTACCATGGGATTGCATCTCCTTACGATGCTCCACTGCCTTGTGGGTTAGACCTTTAGGTCAAAGGCTCGGGGAGTGGCCCCCTAAGATAACCACCTGCTTCGGTTTGGGCACCCGGGAAGTATCACAGCCCACACACAAATTGATGAACTCTTTATGCCTATGGAAATTACCTTTCTCGCTTTGAAAAACAAACAATTGATTCAGATTATTATCATTACAATTATTGTCATTATTAATACTATTATTATTATTACTACTATTATTGTCATTATTGTTATTATTATTATTATTATGATTATGATTATGATTATTATTATTTTCCACATTATTCACCCTCTTTTATACTTATACAGCGGCTCGTCTTCGGTGGAAATTCGACTGTATTTAAACGTTCTCGAGTCACTGTCCGGTTGAAAATTGTATGTTGCCACCGAATACGAGGACTGAAGCAGTTTTTCTGAAACCACGTGCACCATTCAAACTGGCTGCCTTCAACGTTCGCACATTTATGCAGGTCGGACAACAGATAGGGCTGGCTAAGTCTTTGGAAAGTCTTAATATCGACGTTTGATGTCTATCCGAGACCCGTATTCAAGACTGGTGAAATACTACAGATTCGCTCTCCATCTGTCGCTTCAAAAAGCTTGTTTTACGTGCGTATATCCAGGGACCCTGTGGCATCTTCGTCTGGTCTTGCTGGCGTTGGTGTCGCACTAAGCGCTAGAGCTGAGGCAGCACTAGTCGATTGGATCCCCATTAACAGTCGGTTATGTGCTGTTAGATTAGAAAGTTCCATCAAAGTGAGGAGAAATCGGCGTGAGAAACGATGTCTTTTCGTCATCTCCGCCTATGCCCCGACAGATTGCAGCCCGGATGCAATCAAGGATGAGTTTTACCACCAGTTATCAGTTCTTCTCCAGAAAGTGCGTCCGACAGATATTGTAGTACTAGCCGGAGACTTGAATGCTCAGGTCGGGCGTCTAGGCACAGAAGAGAGTCGTTTAGGTGGCCGATAGGGACTCGTTGGTCGTCGGTCAGATAACGGGGACCGTCTACTGCCACTGTGCACAGACCACAACCTGTTTCTGGCTAGCACTAACTTTCGGCACAGTCATCGCCGATGTGCCACCTGGCGTCCTCCCTCTGCATCTCAAGCCTGTACTCAGATTGGTCACATCGCGATCAGCTACTGCTGGCGTGGTTGTATACAAGACTGCCGCTCCTTTTGGAATAACTATCTGGACTCTGACCATGCCTTGGTCTGCGCCAATCTTACCTTACTTTTCAGTGGACAACGAAGTGACCGCCACCAACGGATTGATGTTAGCAAGCTGGTTGCAACTTCTGCTGCTAGTAAGTATCGAACCGAGCTAGTTTCTAGGCTAGCTACCATTCCACCGAAAAGTATAGATGAGCATTGGTTGCAATTGCATGACGCCATGAAAATGGCGGGAACAGTCAGTTGTGGGTTTGCGAAACGTCCCGCTTTTAAGCACTGGGTTTCTCCAGGTTCCTTACAACTCATTGAAGCCCGTCGGTCTACTCCGGGTGACCGTGAGTTTGAACATAAACGAAGGATGTTACGTAAGGAAATTGGGCAAAGCTTGCGTAAGGACCGAGAAGCCTGGTAGTCGAAGCGTGCTAATGAGCTGGAAGCAGCAGCTGCATCTGGTAACTACCGGCAGCTCTTCCAACTCATCCGAGTCACTGGCAGCAAGAAGTCCGGTGTGAGTGAAACAATCTGCGAGGACGATGGGATGCCAATCACTAACATCCATCGACGTCTTGGACGATGGGCAGAATTTTTCGAAGGGCAGTTCAACTGGCCTGCTGCTCTGGCAACATCGGTCAGATTGTCCTGCCCTCCATGGCCGGTGACGACTGATCCACCAAACGAGGAGGAAGTCCGCAAGGAACTCCAACTCTTGAAGCGTTACAAATCACCTGGCCCAGATGACTTACCTCCGGCTCTTTTTAAAGATGGTGGTGACTTGCTGACTAAGGAATTGACGACGTTGTTTACAAAGGTCTGGGAACTAAAGAGTGTACCAACGTCATGGAATGGGTCGATAGTTGTCCCTATCTTTAAAAAGGGTTCACGTCGTTCCTATAACAACTATCGGGGGATAAGTCTACTTTCGATTGCGTCCAAGCTATTGGCTTCCGTCATTCTTCGTAGGTTGTTCAAAACCCGAGAAAGATTGACTCGCGAGGAGCAGGCTGAGTTTCGTTCTGGTCGAGGATGTATTGATCATATCTTCACCCTCCGCCAAATGTTAGAACACCGCCATACTTTTCAAAGGCCAACAATCGTAGTGTTTCTTGACATCAGGGCTGCCTTCGATTCGTTGGATAGGACTGTTCTCTGGGATTGTCTATTGAAGAAGGGTGTGCCTGAGAAGTTTATTAACATCCTGAAAGCCCTATATAAAAACACCTCAGACAGAGTGAGGGCATACAACCACCTCTCTCCATTGTTCCATTCGAGCAGTGGGGTTAGGCAGGGTTGCCCAATCTCACCATTCCTCTTCAACTTTGCCATCGATGACATTCTGGAAACAGCTCTGATGAATGTAAGTAATGGTGGTGTGGATCTGTTGCCTGGAGAAAGACTTCTCGACCTTGAGTATGCGGACGATATTGTCTTACTGTGCGATAATGCCCAAGGCATGCAATCCGCACTTAATCAGTTGGCAATCAGTGTCCGTAGGTATGTTATGTGCTTTGCACCTTCGAATTGCAAAGTACTTCTACAAGACTGGCAGGATTCTAATCCTGTACTCACCCTGGATGGTGAGCAGATAGAAGTAGTCGAGAAGTTCGTGTATCTGGGTAGCTGCATAAGTGCTGGTGGGGGTGTGAGTGATGAGATCAATGCACGTATAGTGAAAGCCAGAGACGCTTATGCCAATCCGGGCCATCTTTCGAGCCTTCGTGATGTTAGTCTGGCTGTAAAAGGTCGGATCTACAACGCGTCGGTGAGAGCAGTTTTGCTCTATGCTTGTGAAACCTGGCCTCTCCGAGTTGAGGACGTTAGACGACTCTCTGTGTTCGATCATCGCTGTCTCCGAAGGATTGCTGACATTCAGTGGCAACACCATGTCAGTAATGCAGAGGTTCGGCATCGTGTGTTCGGGTACAGAGATGATAATTCAATTGGTGTCACCATCTTGAAACACCGACTTCAGTGGCTTGGACATGTTCTACGAATGTCGTCCCAGAGAATTCCACGTCGTGCATTATTTGCCGACTCTGGGACTGGTTGGAAGAAGCGGAGAGGTGGTCAGTGCATGACATAGTGTCGTGGTATGAAAGAAAGCTGCAAAGGACTGACTTGTGTTGGACCTTTACGAGTGCCTGGTTGGGGTCTGAGAGATGGTGCTACACAGTGGCTAGAGACGTTATCAGATATGGCTCAGATTAGAAGCCAGTGGCGATCCTGCTGTAACTTTCTTTTACTTTCTTCATAAAAAGTGGTTGTGTCTCCTTTACCTGAAAGATTTCTTCTGATTGTACCTTTTCGTTCCGTCGTTACTACCATACTACCTTACTCCAATCTCTTCGTCATTGTTCTCTTTTTCTTTTGCGCTCTTTAGTTTTTTTTGTACTTCTCTTCGAATTCTCATTGTTTTGTGTGGCGCATATATTTTGGCGCTCTCTTGTACCAATATTCATGTGTTCAAATAAATAATAATAATAAATAAGTGGTTAGGTCAAAGGTGGTAATATATAAGAGAAAGATTGCATATAGAGATATAGTACAGGAAGAAAAATTGGTTCGTAGAAAGAAAGATATGAAGTGATTTAATCTCTTAGTTTAAGGGAAGACAGGGAGTGTATGCACCGACGCCATTGTGATCAATTCTGAGCCATGTCACCAAGAGTCTCCAACCATTGGTTACGAAAGTCACGCGGACCCCAACCACGTAGTCTGCATCTACCAACATGGCTCAGACTAGAATTTAGTGTCTTCAAGCACTGATGCCACGTTTTGGTTTGGCCGCTTCTAACTTTCTTCCAACCATCTCCAATACCGGATAGCATTGTACGTCGTGGTAGTCGGTGTTCAGGCATACGTAACACGTGGCCCAACCATCTCAGTCGATGAAGATTCATGACCTCATCAACTGATGAGGTATGAACCAATTGTTGGTCACCGGCAGCTATGAGACTGCATCTTCTGACGTTGCTCCACTGCCATGTGGATCAGATCTTTATGTCGAAGGCTCTGGGCGTGGCTCCCTAAGAAAACCACCCGCTTCGGTCTGGGCATCCGGGTAGTATCACAGCCCAGACATAAATCAAGTGACTTTTGGCGCATATGCATTCGGTACCCTTTTGTACCAAGATTTATATGTCCACATAAATAAATACAAAGCATTAACATACTGCTTACCTTACAAATTTGCCCCAATCTATAATATCCTACTTTTATTTCACCTTGAGATTGTGGTACTACATTTAGAATGACCCTAATAGTACAGAATATAGTAATGAAACAATACTAACTGTAGGAGTGTTACAACCTTTGACGAAATTACTGAACGTTCATTTCGTGCGACTTATATGTATGACTACTTTATGTTCTCATTTATGGACTGATCTGTATTGAACGTATCTTTTCTTACTGATAATTTTTTAATGATTTAAAATTTTATCCATGATACATTGTCCTTTTTATATTTTAAACAATTTCCTCTCTGAAAAATCCTATTTTATATTCTGTAGTTTGTTTATTGTCATCCACTTCATTACAAACTTTGGATGATCTGCATCAAAGTCGATCACAATATTTCCTTTCCATTTATTGATTGTTTTTCTGTAAATCTATCCGTTCTCTATTCTTTAGTCACCGTGCCTCTGTTACTGAGCATTGTTGAGAGTGTAGGAGTGGAATGTCTTTTTTGTTTCTGCTGGTCCGCATTCCGATGATGAATATCTCATATATTTTGTCGATCCTATCTTTTTATTATGAACCTGTTGCTTAGTGGTTGAAGCGACTGGCTTTCAACCACAAGTTGGAGTCCCACTCTATCTTCAGTTTGAGCAGTTGGGTAGCATTAGTAGCTTCCGTACAAAATGGTCTACTAAACCGAGTTCACTGATCTGTTTCATCAATTATTCTTTTTGTCATTATTTTATAACTAGCTACCACTCAAACGGGTGATAAATCTTGGTTTACGTTCAGTGTTTTATCCTTCACTGTTGAATTGATAGCTCCTATAAGTGGGTATCTTTTTCTTCATGGATTTTGTCGAAGTTCTTTCCGCCTTAGTTATTCAGTTTTCCAAATATTAATGTGCCTCTAAAACTTTTCCTATCGGGTCAACATTCTCTTGGCGTATTTCATTTATGAAGTTAAGTATCAATCACTCATCACCTGCCTATCATTTTAAGGCACTGACTAGATTTAATTTCTGTCCATTTTATTGTTTATCCAGCTAGTTGCAGTTGTTACTCTTATAAGTTTCGGATATAATGATAAGTTAATATGTAGCATTAATCACTCGATGGTTCAATCATGCATACAATAGGGACTCTCAGTTAGTCAGCAACAACGTAGAACTTCGTACGTACGTACATCAGTTCGAGTTGCCACACCACATTAGTACACAGATGCAGTGGTCGATTCAAATCCCGTAGTGGTGGAGGTAATAAGAGTATAAGCAGTAATCGGGAAAATTAGTGTTTGGAGATGCTATTTAAAGAGTATAATACAGTGAAATAAATTTGGGAAGAGAAAAAAAAGAGACAAGGAGGAATAAGGAGATCAAAATTTGGGAGAACACAAAGAGTGTATGCACCTGCGCCATTGCAAAAGATTTTGAGCCATGTCATTCAGGGTCTCTAACCATCGGTTGCTATCATCTCGCGGTCCCCAACCAGGTAGTCTACACCTACCAACATGACTCAGTCCACTTGTCAGTGACTTCATGGACTTGTGCCATGTTTTGGTCTGGCCGCCCCTAGCTTTCTTCCAACCTACTCCTATACCACTGAACATCGCACGTCGAGGCAGTCGGTCGTTGGGCATACGTAACACGTGTCCCAGCCATCTCAACTGATGAAGTTTCACCACTTCAATCGATTTTCCGTCCTTACCTAGTACCCGTTTCCTAACAACTGCGTTACTTACTCGATGGTCCCAGGATATACGAGCAATGTTTCGAAGACACGTATGATCAAATACTAGTAACCTACGAATATCCTCTACTCTTGCCGGCCATGTTTCACTGCCATAAAGTAGGACGGAACGAACTGCTGCACAGTAAACACGTCCTTTGGTTGATAGAGTCCCTCCTCAGTAGGGACTCTAATACGCACTTGATTAGTTCTAGGCTAAACAAGTTTTTTTCTTTAGTAGGCTATGTAATATTTATCTCAGATTTCTCAAGTTGGCGTTTTGTTGTCTACTGGTTTCCATGGGCTGATAAAACTTCAAAAATAATTGAAGCTACTATTGTGGTTCGTGCTACTTATATTGACATAAGTAGTATATAACGCGTGTCAGGAATGTAATTTTGTGCTAAATATAATCCGGTTGTCCTCACCTGTGTTCTTCACTACACTACCACATATATATATATATATATATATATATATATATATATATATATATATATATATATACAATCATACAGTATTCATTTGTTGTTTTAGCAACCAATGGCGATACAGTTATGCCACCGCCATATGATATGTCTGTATGCAATGGTCAAAATACTGTCGTACCATTTAATTACCCTGGTCCTTCGTTTCTACCACCTCAAGATAGTTTCACAACACTTCCTCCAGGTAGCTTCGCTATGATTCCACCAATGAATGGACCTAGTAATCCCCCTCCGGATGATGAAAAAGCAGATTTCGACACTCTGGCGGAACGCTTTGAAAAACTTAAAAAAAAGTGATAAATTTTGTTCTTATATGTTGATACAGATTTTTTTGTTTTGTTTTCAACTTCACTACACATCATTATGCTTGATCTCTGCTCTATTTTTAAAATGAACCTCTATTTTTAAAAAAATGACTGCATGATATGTAAGTCTATATTTTGTTTTCTTAGTCGATAATTTACATATACATACATAATTATTTTCTAATCAAATAAAGTAATCGAATCTATAGTTATATTGTATCACTTTGTTCTATTCTCACTGTATTCAATTCCGTTCGTTTATAGTGAGTGAATCGATAAAGGTCATCTACAAATTGGTTATGGTTGATTAACTTCTACACTATAGTGTGTAATTTGCCTTTTTTAAATCAAAGAATACAGGTAATTTAAGAAAGTAACTCATTAGTTGTTATATTTCTAAATGAAATTAGAACTCTTGATTTCGGTTGGCATACTCTGTTTATTTTTTATTCTAGCGGGAGTAATCGGTATCTACGTATAGTGGTATACAGGACTATAGAGTCATTGTTTTACGAACTCTTGTTCTCTCAGTTATACCCTACTGACTGATACGTATACTTACATGAATAAGGACTAATTCTTAGTCAGATAGTGGTCCTACTGTTTGTGACTGATTCGACCAGGACGTGTGGGTATATTTGTCTATTCGCGCGCCTCAGTTGCTCTCGTATTTGACTGATCAGTTTTCATTGTAACACGAATGATTACAAACGTAGATTAGTAAATTCATTCTTGTTGCATTGTAGTCACCGTATCGTCACAATTAGTACGGAATTAACAAGTTGACGTAGCATTCTATAATCAACTTTATTGCAATAATTCACCAATTATTTTTGTAATGAATGTGGTAGTACTCTAATTTATGCTTTCTGTTTATACCTTCGATTAGTATGTCAGTAAATAAACGTGCAAGTTCAAACCAACTGGAATATTTACAATATTTCTTGAGGTATCCTCCAATAAGGGCACGGAGCAATTAAAAGATGAATCCAAAGGGGCCATTTAGAACTATACTAAAATAATATCGCTTATATATTGACTGATCAAGTGTATATCATGTTCGGACATCGAAAGGACGATTTACTGACGTAATATAGATGTAAATTTCAGATTTTTAACTTTTTATAGAAACGTTTGATATATCTAAATGTGCAAACTCGAATTATACTATTCGGTTAAGCACTCTAGTATCGATCTATTTCCGTAATCCGCACCTAGTTTCATGCGTGTCGCTAACTTCTTTTACTTGCTTTTTTCATGGCTTTCCTGAATCCTTGCAACAAACTACTCGGTTTTTCATTCATCTAGATTGTTTCTGTTTTAGAGTAACAGTGAATTTCTGTGTTCGGATGAGAAGCTCCGATGAGTTGGCTAAAGCTTCTATGCCACTTTTCTATCTCATTGTTCATCTTGACATCTTCAAAAACGGAGCTTTAGTACATTCCTCAGTACAATTAGGAAAACTGGCTGCTTCTTTTGCATCTGTTTCGTCCCCTTATCGTCTGATGTCTGTGAAATAATTTGTTGACTTGGATTTCTTTATTCTATTTGTAGAATGGTGACTCCATTAGACTCAAATATAGTTACATCTGAGACGGATGCAAAGCTGATGCTCCATCTTTCGTATAATGTTGAAGGTTCGTCGGTTACTGTGGATTCCATCTTACATAAATACAAGTAGGGAAAGTAACCACACACTAATCGTGTGTGACGAGAGTATCGACAAACACCTCCAAACGCCCTGGTATGGCCGAGAGCGGGGTGGGTTCGCCCTCCCTCTCGAAATACTCTCACACAGCCGCGCGTATACAGCCTCTACCAGGGAAGTCCTACTCACTGCCTTCTCGTGGCGGGGGTGTTGTTTACGAAAATGAGAGGACGAAAAGCGAATGTCCGGCGCTTTAACCGGATTCCAAACCAATGGTGCACATGGGCACCAGTATCCTGCGGGAACAAATGGCGTATGAACCAATTTTCGGTCACCGGCTACCATGGGACTGCATCTCCTTACGATGCTCCACTGCCTTGTGGGTTAGACCTTTAGGTCAAAGGCTCGGGGAGTGGCCCCCTAAGATAACCACCTACTTCGGTCTGGGCACCCGGGCAGTAACGCAGCCCACACGCAATTAATGAACTGAAATTGTGTGGCGCATATATGTTTGGCGCACTCTTGTGCCAATATATATGTGTTCAAATAAATAAATAAAATCGACAAACAAGAGCTGTTGAACAGTTTCACCCAGCTATTAAATTCACCACCGAAGAGGAGAACGACAATAGTATAGCTTTCTGTGATGTCCTACATTCTGGGAGGATAGACAGTCCCATAAAAGGAAATGTATTTAGAAAGAATAGATGGACAGGTTATTATACCCATTTCCATAAGTTTACACCTCTTCACTACAAAATAGACAGAATCAAACTCCTATGTTCTGAAAATTGTGTAGATTACGAAACCGATAACCTGGAAAGCACATTTCGAAATGATTTCGTCATAAAAATTCTACTAGGTATTAAAAAAAGCTGTGACACGGTCGGTAAAAGAAACCTGACTCAAACTGAGTTTTAAAGGAGACATAGTGGGTGACATTTTAAAACATTGACGTTTTACGCCGCCAAGTTACATACAATTTTCTCAATCAAACAAGTACTTACACAAAAAATTAAGGATAGCTTACCGATGATGGGCTCCTTCATGTGGGTATACCGATTCAACTGCTCCTGTAGAGCCAGTTACATAGGCCGTACTCAGATGGCCTTATCCTTGAGTGTTCGTGAACATGTACAAGCATGGTTGGGAAGAGGAATCACTAAATTAATAGTACCATTCTTTCTCACTTAGTAGGTAGTGAACATCATACGAAGATAGATGAGGCTTTATGTCAATTTCCAAAGAATCTACCTGAAGGAGCTAGATTACGGCCCTTCTACGTATACAGCCTCTATATTTACCTTGGCCCACGACTGGATCACCGGATACCTAAACTGGATATTATAAACCGCTTGTCGCCCCTCCCAATTCCTTTCGTGTTTATAACTTAATCTTCACACTCATCTTTCCCAGTTCACATGAATTCTTTTTTATCGTAATTACTTTGATAACACTCCTCTTATTACACACAACGAAATTATCATTACCTCGATTGATAAGACGAAATTCTCCTACGATGCATTTTACTCACATGATTTGTTGATTTTGTTATATTACCATTATTTTGATTATGACTTGACACTTTGCTACAAATTATTCTGACAGCTATCAAATGAACTTTCTAATTTACAAATAACACAACTTTGGGATATTTATGTCGTAACAGATGCAAACGCTCACCATTCTTAACATATAACATTGTCAAATTCCGATAATGCAATTAGAAGACGAAGTTTGTCATTGCTTTATCGAAATTTATCAAAGGGACTAATTGTTGTAAATTGTCAAATTCAATAATGTATACCTTAATCTGACCTTTTTAAAATATAATTATAGACTGAAAACAGTGGGTCCAGATGATGAAGTTATTCAAAACAATTGTTCCATCGAATATTTTTCCTCTACTATTTTCTTGGTAATTTTATTACGTTGTACTGATTTGGTACCCATACTGGGGGTAACACACTTTTATGTCCAATTCTATGTTGATTATGATTAACTGGCATGATTTATTTGATTAAATAAAAATGTCCAAACGAATTAATATTATTCGATTCTAATAAATAGACTGGATTCTTTTGAAGTTATGCTAATTTTGGGTTGTCCTACTAATGGATTCACCAGAATGTTATGGGCAAATCTACTATGCTCCCTAGACAGTCATACAATCAATTATTTTGAAAATCCTAACGATAAGCTATTATAGAACTCAAGCTTTTAGAAATGTGCACATTGATCAGACGAAAATCTAATGTATGCTCATGAAGTATGAAAGTTAATGAAACAGTCAAAACACTATTTGCCAGTAACGACTCTAATTTTTGCTAAATTTTTATGGATGAATATTGCAATAATTATATATAATAAGATATTAGGCATGTTAAATCAGAATTACTATACATTAAAAGGATAACATTGACAGACTTTGTATTAATCTATAGACAAAAAAAAAACTGACAACTGACAATATTCTGTGAATTTATTTCATCCAATGTAGCTTGAAATAAATTGGAAATCATGGGAGTGAGGAAACTAAAAAAGTTTAAATCTAGCGATTACTTACTGGAATTATACTGAACTGCTGTACTTCAGCGAGGTTGGTGGTGACCTTCCAGATGTTTCACTAGTGAGTATACTCGAACTTTCGTACTTTTTAAAATATCTGAGTACAGATTCACTGACATTATGAAACAACAATCTAAAAATTATGTGAGTGAAACTCGGGAAATTTGTACGAAAAAATGATTATTATTTGGTAGATTATTAATCATATAGTTTAGTTGCGAGTTCACGTTAAACAAAGGAAAAATAAAAGAATTGTCACTAAACAAGATTTAGAATACGATCTCCACTAAGAATAGGCTTTTCGTATAATTCCGTGTCCATACCATGTCATTTTGACCGTATGCTACAACCGTAGACTTCTTATCCGTTCTGAGCAATTTAATCACAGCATAAAAATTTTCTGGACAAAGACAGGTATTAAGTTAATTTTGACTGACATTACTTTTTTCAGATTTTGTACTGAAGGATAGTCACTGTCTTCTTATTAATATTTCAATATATAATATAGTTGGACGGAATTCTCTAAATTAATTCATTTTACACAGCACATCATGTAGCAATGAAAACTCATATGAACATGGTGTAGTGAGTTCTCATGATTTCGACTTTCACTGACAATTATTCTTGTTAATAACCATACTCATATTTTGGAATTCTGTGTTGTTTTAAATTAGTTTATTTGATGTGGTTCAGAAGACAGATTTGTCCAGAGGAGTAATCATATTACTCAGTGATTAAACACAGGGATGTATACCAGGATTTGAGACATACCTAGTCATCAAGGTTAGTAATGCTACCTACTGTTTAAATCGAATTAGGTGGAGCAGAGTCCTTACCTTCGACCTAACTATTGAAAGCTGAATACACTAAGCAATTAAACTATTTCCAAGTGGGAACTCTGTCGATAGAAAGATCTAGTAATTTGTAAATAATTGTCTAACTGATCTTTCACCCTTGGAATTTATTTCGATGATTTTGTTTCCTACGATGG